AAAAAAATTATAGTTTCAATCGATTCAATTTGATCCCCAAAATTTCGGTGGATCAAAAAAATATTTCAACTCCTGAATTTTGACAGGGATAAAAAAAATAGAATTCCATGGTGGAAAGGGAGTTGGGAAGGGTTTTTTTATCTTCTTGAATTTTTTTAATCGCTGAAGAAGAAATAATGGCGGTGTTGAAGTGGTTAAACGCATTAGAAAGTCATGGAAATTCTTTAGCTGTTGTATCCATCACATTATTCACAGCATGGGTCGAGCCAAGTGGAAATGTTGGAAACTGACACCTAAGCTATGCACAAAATTCACAAATAAAAAGGTCTCGAGGGGGAAAGGGGGGGGAGGGGGTATAATTATGGTACGGGGGGACGTGTCAAGTAAATTGGGGAATGCAAGATCAAAGGGAAAATCGTGTAGTTGACTCTCGTAAGATGAGAGAATTCACGCTCTCCCTTTTCTCTCGTTTCCCCAAATCCTCACCCATCAAGATCAGGAACGAGCTGATACAGTCGGGGGAATCCCCCGGCCCAAACCCATTTAACCCCATAAATTTTCAAAACTTCAAGGACTGAATTTTCAGATGTCCCACGTTTGTTTGAGAATTTTCAAAAATGTAATAATTCAAAATGAATTCGTAACCCTTGGGAAAAAAAAAAATTTCCAGGAAATTCATCGGGTCATCTGATGGCGCCAAATTCAAATTTGTACCCATCGATTTGAATGGCAAAACGGACTCTCGTGGTTTCTGTTATGAAAAAATTTTATGAATATTTAATTGTCTACTTACGGGTATGCATTCACACTTTATGCAGTACATGACCCCGAAGGGGGGCCCCAGGTCTGCGTACCACGTGGACCCCAGCTCCCTAATCTGTTTTCCAAACGTGCACTCTGAAAGAAAAGTGAAGAAACCGATTTCAATTCTCAATATCAATTTATTTACTAAGTCACGCGGATCCTCAGCTCAACTGCTGAGAGCGTAATAGATACTCAGATATCCCTCTCACTCATTCCTCAATGGAACGTCAATATTTACCGAGCCGTTTCCGTGCGAATCGTATGCACTTTGCGTGAGTTCTAAAAAAATTTTCTCACTCGAATATTTTCATCTCGAAGATGTGCCCGAATCATCATAAAATTATTTACTCAGGCGTCAATATCACTTGCAGGAGCGAAGTGCACCCTAGCCTAGCTTCTTGTTCTCCTTCTTCTTCAAAAAAAAATCGGTAGTAATTTTTTTAATATTTTTTTTTCTCGGTATTTGTATGAGAAAATTTTTTTTTTCGGAATTTTTAAGAGGAAATTTTTTTTACGAAAATTCAGAAATCAGTGAAATATGGGCAAAAAAAAATCGGTAGTAATTTTTTTTTACGATATTTTTTTTTCTCGGTATTTTTATGAGAAAATTTTTTTTTCTTTTTTCGGTATTTTTATGAGTATTTTTTTTTTTTACGAAAATTAAGAAATCAGGGAAATATTGGCGAAAATAGAGACATTTTTGGATGTGCATTATCGTCCATTCGAATATTCATCTTGTCCTCTTCACTGGAGGCTGTCCTAATATCGTGCACATCCTCAAGTTCGTATTCTCCTCGATTTTTACCGTGAAAACCCGCAACTGGTGCGTTATATATCCGCGAGATGAAGGAGAGCAACGACCCCGTACTGGTACGACTGCAAC